TCTTTTCAGACAGTTTCTCTGCCGTTCTTTCTCTGTTCCCTTTCTAGGATCCCAGTTGCACACACGTTAGACCCTTTCCTTATGTCTCAGGTTGTGTTGTGTATTTTCCATTCCGTTTTTAAAATTTGTCCTGTCTCTGTTTCACTCTGAATATTGTCCAGTGACCTGTCTTGAGTTCTTTCATCCTTTCCTTTGCAGTGTCCAACTGGTTGTTAAACCCATCTGTTAACTTCCTAACTTCAGTGATTGTTTTACATTAGATTCTTTGGATTAGATTCCAGTTCTTTGGTAAAATTCTCCGTCTCTGCAGTTATATGAAAGCCTTTAGTAACTCCAACAGTGGGGTCATTGGTGGTTCTGTTTTTTTTGTTTGTTTTTTTTTGCGGTACGCGGGCGTCTCACTGCTGTGGCCTCTCCCGCTGTGGAGCACAGGCTCCGGACACGCAGGCTCAGCGGCCATGGCTCACGGGCCCAGCTGCTCTGCGGCACGTGGGATCTTCCCAGACCGGGGCACGAACCCGTGTCCCCTGCATCGGCAGGCGGACTCTCAACCACTACGCCACCAGGGAAGCCCGGTGGTTCTGTTTTTATTGCCTGAGTTTTCTTTTGGTTTTGGTTATTTGGTCCTGTCTCTCGTCATGCTTGGTAAATTTTTATCGAAGTGCTGGGTATAGTGTTTGAAAACCTGTGGCAGCTGTGGGTAATTTTGCCCCCGCAGGGGACTTCGTTTCCTCTGGCAGGGAGAGAGTTGTGGGGAGCTAGCCTGGGCCCAGTGGAGGCTGGCCCGTCTGGGTCCTCACTGCACATCTTGGGGTGTGCTCGGCTCAGGACCTGGGCAGGACCTGGCAGTGCCATCACAGGGGTCCCTGCCCACTTTCTCTTCTCCAGGCTGACTGCCGCTGGCCGTGGCGTTAAGCCTCTGCGCCCTTGTGCCTGTGCGGAGCAGGACCTGACCAGGGCCTGGAGGGAGCCTGAGTGCGTGGTGTTTGGCCCACTTCTCGACAGTTGGGCGCCTCGAGGCTGGCTGTCTTGGAGGTCCCCGAGCCCTCCATTTTATCTTCCCCCGGGTGGGGCTCTGAGCTCCAGGCTGTGGCCTTGGCCTCTGCCTGGTGCTGTGGGGGCAGCCAGTGCCCTGAGGGAGCAGGGGCAGCTGGCAGGGCCCCTGGCGCAACGGGAAGCCCTTCCTTTTCCTTGGTGGCTCCTGGCTGCCGCCCACCACACCCCCACGACCCCCCCCCGCCTGCCCCCGCCGCCGCCCCGCACCCCGCGTCCAGGCGCCGCCCTGCCTTGTCACACAGCCCTGTAACTCCCCTTGATGCCTGCTTCCACTCCCGGCCCCTTTGTGGACTGCCTCCAGGACTTGGGTGATCTCTTAGAGACTTACATCAGGGCTCCATGTCGCTGTGCAGGTACAGCGGCACTGCCCAGAAATAACCGGTGCAGGTGTCCTGGTGGCCTTTGTACTTGGTAGGGCGTGGCTGAGAGCTCCTGCTCTAAACAGAGCTGTGGGCCGGCTGCCTGGGGAAGGGCTCGCCAGGGCAGGGGGGCCCCGCGGGGTTAGAGGGTGGGTGGCTGCTGGGCAGGTCGTCCTCAGGGACGTCGAGGTTCGGCTCTTCAGTGCTGATGGCACCGTCGTTCTGGGACTCACCGGCTCGTGTCCGGCACGGCCCCGGGAGGGTGCTGTGGGCTCACGTGGCTGCCCCCCTGGCCTCACTGTCCGTCCTCAGGTGTGGCGTCCACGCACACACATGACGTTTCGGACCTTCTGGATGTGCAGGGGCAGTTTTTCACCCGGAGAGACACTGTATCAGAGGCAGCGTAGAGGAATATCACGTTCTTTTGACCTTTAGTTCTGTCTTATTTAAATCTCTGTAAACTTTTCCTTTGACCAAAAATGAGTCTCAGTTTAAATCAGGTCCCGTCTGTGATTGTTTTCCCAGCAGTGCTGTGTGGGCCTGCCAGAGGGTCTCCCGTCCTCTCGGGGCGGAGCTACTCCCAGGCCCCAGGGACAGTGGTCGCCCAGCGTGGGCTGCCACGCGCTTTCTAAACCCACTGGACGCACTCTGGCCTTTGGACCCTCAGGAATGTCCAGGATCTTCTGAAGGTGTTCTGTCCGCCACCCTTCTTTGTGCCGATGCACCTCTTCTAGGACAGGCACTCAAGTGGGTGTTCGTTGAGCAGAAGTGCCGCCTGCTAGAATACGGCTGGGCCCCAGGAGGATGGGAGGGAGACAGAGAGGCCAACAGAGCTACACTCACGCTGAGCCAGGGCTTCACGCAGGCCTCACCTGTGGGCTTACTTACCGTCCCAGCAGGTTTGGGGGTCTGGGGTCTCTGCACCAAGGTTGGATGCAGCAGCCTAGCAAAAGGGAACGGCTCCTGGGAAGGACACTGGCCCAGGGGCCGGCCAGACAGGAGACTTTTCCAAGCCATAGAACCCCAAACGCCCATCAGTTGGACCCACTGAGGCCCAGGCCCCGGGGGCGCTGGTGGGCTCTGGCCCAGGATGGGGCATGGGTGGGGGGGCTCGTTCAGGAAGCACGTAATTCAGATCACCCCACTCCGAGAGGATCCAGGGCTGTCTAGACGTTCCTGTGGACACGGGCCAGGTGCCCTGCCACTGTCATTTCACGGACAGCAAATGTCATTTCATTGTAACTTGGTTAAAAGTTGAATCCCAATCTCCTTTATAAAATACACACATCCCCCCCCCATCATTTTATTATGAAAAATATCAAACATGTGGCAAAGTTGAAAGGATTGATTATGCAGTGGGCGCCCCCCACCCCAGAGTCTCCATCCACACCTTGCTAGTCTATGCTCGGCCCCCTCCCACCCGCCAGCCATCCCTCAGCCTGTCCTTTTTTGGTGTTTTTCAAAGTAGGGTGCAGACATCTATTCAGTGCCCCCAAGCCCTTCAGCAGGCAGCTTATTAACTGACTAGATACCAGTATTTGTTTATGGTTCTTATTTCCTTTTAAGGTAAAATTGGCATAAAATGAAATGCACAAGTCTTCATCGTGCCATTTGATGAGTTCTGAGGAGCGCATGTGTCTGTGCGACCAGGTCTTCTGTCAGGATGCAGGGCGGCGCCAACACCCCACCCCAGAGGCACCCGCTCTCCTGGTGACGCCCGTGGGTTAGTTTTGCTTGTTCTGGAACGCCCTGTCCGGGATGCGGCTGTGTGCTCTTCCTGCAGGTCTGTTGCCTGGCAGGCCTCTGCCGTCTTGTCTCCATGGGGCGAGTGTGTGACAGGTCATCGGTGTCTCTGTCGACGGACCCCCGGGCTGTTCCCGGTCTTTTGCTCTTGTGCACGGAGCTGCTGTGAACATTCTTTTTTCCTCTCCACGTGGTCGGAGGCCCTCGAGCAGGGCCGGTGTTCCACTGGGCGCCCTGCCGGCGGGCGTGGCAGCTGCAGTCATCTGTTGCTGTTGTAGGGGTGCTTTAGTTTGCTTTTCTGTGATAGCTGCTGAGGGGGGCGCTCTTTGCTTCTCTTATGAAACATCTGTTCAAAACTTTTGCCCGTTTTTTTGCATTTATTTTATTAGTATTATTTTTAAAATAGACTTCATATTTAAGAGCAGTTTTAGATTCATGAAGAAATTGTGCAGAGTTCTGTATTCTCCACGCAGCACAGAGTTTCCCTGTGATCAGCTCATGTCAGTGTGCTGTATGTTATACTTGATGGACCCGTGTTGATACAATATTGTTAACTGAAGTCCATAGCTCATGTGAGCGCTCACTCTCGGTGGTCCATGCTCCATGCGCTTGACGAGTGACAGGCCACGTGTCCACCATCGTGGTATCATACAAGCAGCTTCGCTGCCCTGAAAATCCCCTGTGCCCCGCCTGTTCATCCTCCCACCTGACCCTTGGCCACCCCGACCCTTTCACTGTCTCCACAATATTGCCTTTTCCAGAATGTCATAGAGTTGGAATCTTAGGGCGTATAGTCTCTTGGCTATGTTAATTTGTTCTGTTGTCACTGATTCCTGCTTATATATTTACGGTGGTCTTCCTTTCATTTCTTGTGATTTCACTTCTCTTTTTTTCGAAGTGCTTCTCACTAGTTTGTTGGTCTGCACTGTAGCATTATCTGTCTTACTGTGACTACACTCTCTGACGAAACGTCTGCCTTCAGACTGAGAAATGAGGTGCCTTTGATTCGAGGACCTTGGAGGCCACGTTCCAATGCTGGCCACCCGGTGTGAGGCTTTGGCACTGGGACTTCCTCTCTCCTTGCTCTGCTGGGCCCAGACTTTCCCTCTGGACACCTGGTCTGGGCTCTGGTTCAGCATCGTGGGGATTTCTTTCTTAGTCACTTCTCAAAGCCATAGCATATCCATGAATGACGCTAAGTTCACTTCATTTGACAAGTTGCCTTTCTCAGTGGCTCGTGTTTTATATTTCTGTGTATGTGTCTGGCTGAGTTTTGAATCGCTTAGGACATATTCTGGTTACTACTTAACCATCTGCTGAGAGCAAGGACAGGTCCCACGCCAGAGTCCCCACAGCTGCCCCCTCGAGCACCAGTACCGTAGCGGTGCCTACCGGCCACCAAAAGTGGCGGCCTGGTGTGTGTGTCTGTCCCCCAGGAGCCTTGAGTCCTGGGACACAGGACACTGCTGGGCACCCAGCAGCCGCTCAGTGGATGCTCGTGAGATGCAGTGAATGTGGCTGCGCACTTCTTGGGCAGGCCGGGGCGGGAGGCCCCTTGGAGCAGGGGACCCCTGGCTGGGCAGGGCCCACACAGATGCGGGAGCCGCCCCACCAAGGCAGTTGCACTCCAAGAACCGTGTTGCAGGCCCCCACCCCAGCTCCACTCCCGCTCGTCCGGTACTGACTCGGAGGTCTCCCAGAAGTTGAGCCCTGACGCGGCTGCCTCACTCTGCCCTCACGATCCAGTGCTGAGCTTAGACCTACAGCAGGGGTCTGCCTCCTGGAAGCTGTCAGGTGGCCGGAGCCTGTGGGCCGGGCGCTGCTCCTTGACTCCCCTTGCAGACATGCTCCTCGACCTCAGCGACCTGCTCCAGGTAGATGCGTTTCCTTTCTCAGCCCTTTCCTGCCCCGGCTGGGAGGGTCCACAGGCGAAGGACACACAGGGTGTGGGTCTCTGTTTGGAAACTGGCAAATGGAGTGGGTAGGGAGACAGTGGACATAGGGTGATGGTGTTGTCCCGGGGGCTGGGCAGCCCTGGCCTTAGAACCAATGGAGAGACCCAGGTGAACTTTGTCCAAGGCAAGGGAGATTCTTTAAAAGGAAAAAAAAATGGACTCACATGCATACATTTTAAACAATATAAAAACTTACATTTACAGTCTATTTAGGGAAACTTGCTTTCTGAGTCCCAGGAAGGCACCTCTCATTTCCAAATGCCTGACGGTAATGGAAAGACCCAACAAGAGGGACACCTGTGTGGATGGGACGCTCATGGGGTGGGAGCAGCGCCGGGGCGGAGCCACTGCAACTCCGCACTTGTCCCTGGTGATGGCGCTGGGGCTGGGGCGAGCTTGGCCCCGTGCCCTGGAGTTGGGCTCTGTGGTGATCACTCCACTGAGGGCTCGGAAGGAAAACTAATGTCATGGAAAGCAGACGTGACTGCAGTGTGAGGACTCATGCAGAATTCATAGGAATCCCACCCCCACGGGGAAGCTTCCTCGCAAGCCTGGTGCTGTGCCGCCCCGGTGCTGGGCCTTCAGTGCCGGCAGACAGACCTTCACTGAACTCAGATGCCACCTGTATTTGTGTTCTCCCAGGTGCCTTTATAAATGGCATCTCTCAGGAGCCCTGCTGAAATATTCAGGGGTCACGGTAAACATAATCCCTTGTAATCGTGAAAATCCAGCACTCCATGTGCTGTGTTTGGTCAGGGCAAGGCCACGTGGCCTGGTTTCCATCCTGGTGACTCCCAGGAAGGACAGGAGTGAGGGCTGGCGCAGGACAGCGCTCCAGAAGTGCTTGGGCACCACTTGGGAGGGAGGGGGAGGTGCTCCAGTACTTTCTTGCTTCACACCTTGGGAAGTGGGACACCAGTCAGGGTTCAGGTGGGAGAGGGTGGCAGAGTAGATGCACCCACTCACCTGGGGCTGGATCAGGGCCCAGCGGAGAGTCACTGTGCTGACCAGTGAGACCCCGTACGTTCAGGCTGGACACACACAGACAGTTTTAACACCTCAGGTGGAAGGGTGAGCCTCGGGCCCCCTGGTCTTGGGCAGAGCCCAGCCTGGGCACTGGGAAGGTGGGAGGTGACCTGGCAACCGTCACCCCCCAGCCCCCCGCTCCCAGCCTCCCACGCTGGCCCCGCCCTGGAGGGGCTGGGACAGGCTCAGCACTCACAGGACACACGTGTCTGCAGCTGACTGTGGGTGTGGAGCACGCGTGTCGGGTGAGGGTCCCACTCGGAGGCTTGCACTGCCGAGGGCTGAGCGCTTAGAGGACATGAGCTGAAGGCTCAGGGCTCACTCCGTCCTCACTCACACGCGCACCAAGGTGGGCTTCTCCCTGGGTCCAGCTCACAGCCAACACCCTCTGGCAGGAGCTGTGGAGGGCCCCCTGCACCCTGAGGGTCTTGGCAGGACGTCCCTTTGTCCCCCCTTATAGTGAGGCTGACACATAGGCACTCACGTGCCTGGGCCCCGGCCCCTCAGAGGCAGAGCCAGGAGCCCTCAAGGGCTGCGGAGCCTGCCCGCCATGTGGTAGGGGCACAGGGAGGGCTGGCCACCCACACACAGCCGCAGACACGGGAGAGTGACCATCAAAGCATCTCTGGCAATAACCACGCATTTTACAGGCATATCCTTTTTAAAATTTGATTTTCCACTTGAAGTTGTTCAGAGAACGCTTTCCTGCAGCATTCAGGCTTCGTCTGCCTCGGTGCCGGGGTTGGGGTGGTGGGGGTCATGGCATGGGCAGGCAGGGTCGGGATGTGCTGCAGGGAAGGTGGAGACACCGCGCTGGGTGGCAAGTCCGTTCTGCTCTGGCCTCAGCACAGGATGAGGCAGGAGGGCCGGGATGCAGGAGCCTGGGGGGACCCAGTGGAGGGGGATGCACGCTGCCACGCGTGCTTTGGTGGCAGGCATCCCTGGGAGCCCCCAGCCCTTGTGATGGGGATCTTGGAGGACAGAGAGTGACTGCCAGTGGGGTGGGGGGGGGTGCCCTCTGCTGCCTGGACAGGGAGGCCTGGCCTCCGCTGGGAAGGCCCCAAGCTGCCTGGTGCCCACAGGGCACGTACCCTCATCTCCTCCCCTAAGGAGACTCAACATTGTACCGCTCCTTAGCACCCTGGTCCCCTGGCGGCAGCAGGCACCCGTGTGCCATCTGCAAGCCTCGTGATGGATATGGCACACAACAAGGCCTTCACTCTTCCTCAGCACCTTTTCTGGCGCCCTCTTGGGTGCTGGGCCAAGGGGCTCACAGGCCAGGCTTGATCAGGTGAGGGAGCTCTCTGAGGTGGTCAGAGGCAGCCCTCCTGCGAGGCCCGAGTCCTGTGGGCAGGGCTGGGGTGAAGGCGGGTGGGCAGGGGTTTCTCCAGCTCAGGCTGGGACGGTGAAGCCCACAGCTCGGGCCTGGGGTGAGAGCCTGGGCTTTTCTCGGATCTGCACGCCATCCGAGTCTTCCCTGCACTACTCCTGCCGTCAAAGTCCACTCAGCAGCATCCTCCCCACGAGCTGCCCAGCCCTCGGCCAGCACCAGGCAGGCTGGGAGGACAGTGCCTGGCCAGGCCCCGGGCTCAGTCGCACCCGGGGAGGTTCTGGCAGGTGACTGGGTCAGGGGCAGGCTCCACGGTGGATTTGGACCTGAGGTGGGAGCAGTGTAGGGTCACTGAGGCCTGCAGAACCCCACAGCCAGGACTGAGCTGGCCCGTGGGGACAGAAGAGGATGCCCCCGTGAGCCCCTGGGAACGGGGTAGAAGAGTGGCCGTGGGCCCCGCAGTCGTGGCGCCTTGCGCCCTTGATGATTCTGCTCAGCCAGCTACTCTTGAGGCAGCTTTTCTTCTCAGCAAGTTCAGTCGTTGCTGAGATAGTGGTAGAGTCTAAAAAAGCCACCTGGGGGAGGGAAGGAGTGCCCTGGGCTGCTCTGGGGGCTCGTGGGGGGCAGCAGGGGGGACTCTTAAAGACTGAACGATGAAATAAAAAGGGAAACATTTCCTGCACATGAACGCCCTTCTTAGTTGTGGTGTCTTCACGACAGGTGAACGTTTACGTGCTGGGGAAGACGTTCCTTCTTTTGGCGAGAGAGCTCTGCATCAACGCACCAGCAATAGGTACTGCGGGGCTCACGGGGCGCGCTGCCGGTGCTCTGGGTGGGAGGGCGGCGTGTGCAAGGGCAAGGACCTAACAGGGAAGAAGTGTCTCACCTGGAGGCTGCCAGGAGCCCGGCAGCCTGGGGGGTTATTTCTGGTCTAAAACCAGAATGCTGTGGTCAGTGCCCGCAGGTAGGGATGGAGTGAGACGGAAGTGTTGCGTGGATGGGGGCCCGTCTCTCCACCTCTCGAGCACCCCTGGCAGCACGGTGCCTCGGGGTGGGCAGGCCCCGTGCAGATGGAGCCGGGCCTTTCCCAGCCACGGTCGGTCGGCCTTTGTGGCAGCTTTACCGTGAGGACTGTTTGCACGGTTGGCTTGGAGGGGCTGCTCCCTCCTTCGCCCGTCAGCGTCTAGAGGCACCTCCTTGTACTAAGGAGGTGGTGTGTGGGGCCAGGGAGGGTGGGCAGGGCGTGCAGTTCTGGGTCACCCACAGGGTGGTCCCCTGGGGCCGGGAAGGCACGGTCCAGCAGGGTGGGCCCGGAGGAGGAGGGCCGCAGGCACAGGGAGACCTGGGGCTGGGGGCTGTATCCCTGTGCCGAGTGACACGGTCCCTCCCTCCGGGGGTCATGCGGAGGTTTTTCAGAAACAAAGCAAATGCCCAAGGAGTTTGCAGCAAGGGAGGTAGAGGCAAGAGGCCCAGCGAGCCTGCCTGACGCCACAGCACGCGCGTGCAGGCTGCTGGGGAGCCTGAGGTGGGAGGTCCGCTCTCGGGGGCAGGAGCCCTGGGCCCGGCAGAGCACCCCCCACGCCCCCACCCAGTCGAAACCAAACGGTAGGATTCTGAGCAGCTAGCGACACTTGAGGACGTAGACACAACCTGACACCTGGCTTTTTCTAGAGCAGTCTGGCTGCAGCCCAGAGAGCAAGCCCTCCCAGATGGCGGAGGCCCAGGCTGCCGGCAGAGGGCAAACTCGGGGACGGGTGGGCCTCTTGGGACTACCCACTAAGCACTGTTAGGGCAATTTGAGACTCGCAGTCATCTATCTACGGCTCTCATTTTGTTAGAACTTTATTATGAAAATCCACTTAAACAGGTGAACTACTTTGAGTGACTCTTCCCATTTTAGATCGAACAGAAGATCTTAAGCTTAGAACCACTTAGAATAGAATCTAAGAGGATGCGAGGGACGGCAAAGCCCTCAAAGCAGGCGGTGTGGGTGCCCCTGGGAGGGAATCTGGAGCCTGCCTTGTGCCCCCCAAGTCTGCCCTCCACCTGGGAGGTGCGCCCCAACGTACAAGAGATGCAGAGACCGAGGCTCTGGCTGTGTAGGAAAGCATCTTGTGTCACAGCTTCAGGCTCCAGCCGACTACTTGCAGAGGAGGCACGCCGCGAGCGCAACCTTTGAGGTGGCCGGTCACGGGCTGCCTGTAGAGAAAGGGCCTGCCGCTCGCAGTGCATCCCTGCCACCCCACAGCGCCTCAGGCGTAGAAGATGAGCTCGGGGATCTGCCCGCCCTGGACCCCGGTCCCGTTGGTGCTGTCGGAAGAGCACTGGAACTGGAAGGTCACCTTCCCGCACTGCACCTCGGTCATGCCCTCCTGCCCAAAGTAGCTGAGCTCACTGCCATCCAGGACGGCGCTGGCGGTGTAGAAGGTGTCCTGCTCCACCTGCACGGGGTGTTCAAACCAGACTGAGAAGGTGCTGCTGGAGCCGTCGGAGACAAACGTGGTCAAGTTCTGCGCCAGGACCACCCCCAGCCGCTTGAGTTCAATCTTCACGCTGTACTCCGCTCTCCCAGAGCTAGAGCCGTACAAGCCCAGCCCCGCAATAAATACTCTCCTGTCCACGGCAAACTGGATGCTGTCGCAGCGGCCGCGGTAGCGCCACTGGTTGCTGCGGTAGGCGGAGGACTGGAAGCGGTGGCACCGCTGCGGGGCGAGGCCCTTCCTCTTGGTCAGGGGGAATTCGAGGAGGGGCTTGTTGGCCGCCGTGTACCACAGGAAGATGTTGTGGGTCTCCTCCAGCGTCAGGATGTCCGACTGGGCGGCGCCGTTGGCAAACTCTTCCAGGGTCATAGTTGGAATTCGGACCAGGTAGAGGGCTGGCCCCAAAACATGCCTCTTGTTGCGCGGGGTGGCCGGCAGGCCCTGCCTCTTGCACTCTGCCTCGGCCCAGCTCAGGACTGCCTCGAAGACCACGGCCTCCTTGGTGTTGAGGGCCTCCCGCATCACGATGATCTCCAGCGTTTGCCAGTCAATTTCACAGAAGCCTTCGGACCTCAGGGCCATCTCAGCCTGAGCATCGATGACCTCCCAGCAGCGCTGGGTCAGCTCGGGCTCCTCAAACAGCCGGCTCTGGGACAGCAGCACACAGGCGTTTTTGGCTTCCAGACTCGTCTCCAGGAAGTTGACACAGGCTTTTGCTAACGCGGGGACAATGTACTTCTTGGCGGCATACAGAGTGGCCAGCACCGTGTCAGCTTCCAGGTCAATCTCGTCACTGTACATGTACCTAGGCAGGACGGGGCCAAGTCACAGGCCGCGTGGGGCACGCTGCGCACCCAGGGCCTGGGAGAGGAGCCCTCCATCCTTGTGGACTTCAGGAGGCTGCAGGCAGCTGGCTGGCGGAACCAGGCAGCGAGGAACCGCCCCATCCTTGCACCCTAAGGAGGCAGACTTACTTTAACAAGATGAGAAAAGCTGTAGGTTCCACGTCAGGGATGTGGATTTCTGACTTGACTTCTGCCAGGTCCCCGTAAAACATGGCATAAAAGACAGAGCTACCCACGGCCAAGACATACTGTGGATGAGAGAGAGAGAGCTGCCCTGAGCCCTGGGCCCTCCCTGCCCCCAGCGGCTGCCACACCCGGACCGTCCATACTCGGGAGGCGGCCGGTCGCCTTTGGGAGCTCCAAGGGCCGAGCCTCTACCAACCTTGTGGGCAGGCACCCTCCGGGCCGCGCCCGGGGGCCCCACGACGAAGTGCACGTCGGCCATGAGCTCGTTGTTGAACATCAGCGCGTTCCTGCAAAGGGCAGAGGCACAGGACACGGCTCGGGGGTCGGGTCGGCGCGGGGCGCGGACAGGGGCGGGGGCGCAGGTCCGGGCTCACCTCTCGCGCAGGGTCGGGTGGAAGGACTGCCAGTTGGGGCTCTCCAAGTTGTTGTTGTCGAGTGCGGGCGGCGCGGGCGCGGGCGGTGGCAGGGCGGGCAGCGGGGCGCTGGGCCGTCCCTTCCTGCCCGCGGCAGCAGCGGCGGCGGCGTTGCTGTTGGCGATGTCCGTGGCGGTGGCGGCCGCGGCTGCGGCGCCGGTGGGCGCGTAGAGCTCCGCGGCCATCTTCGCGGGCAGGGCGGCCTCCGCGCGCGGGGGCGGCGCGCCGTGCGCCCTCGCGCCGCGCCGGGGCCTCGGGGGCGGCTCTGCGAGCACCAGGAGCGCGGTGAGGCACTGCGCCACCCGGCCGTGCAGGCAGGCCAGGGGTAGCAGCATGGGGCCGCGCCGGCCCTGCGCGCGGGGGGCCGGCCTGCCCGGGGCGGCGGGCGCTGCTCCCTCGCGCCGCCCCGCCCGCCGGCCGGAGCCTCCAGCCCGCCCGCCCGCCCGAGGGCGCACGGCGCGCCGCCCCCGCGCGCGGAGGCC